AGCCTTTTTTCCAGCCATCATTTCTTGGGCCTTTGCAATAGGCTAACATCCAATCTCCCTAGTGATGATTTCTTACATAAAATCTCATTATGCCATAACAGTACTTTAAAAGTCATGGTCCTCCATCGTTGAAGATAATAGAATTCAAGCTCTTTAGCATGACTCAGACATCTTTTCCCAAGGTGGCAGACACCTCTCCTGCCTTGTCTCACATGCAGGGTATGTCTCATGCCTCTGCACATTCCATCCTCTTCCTGGTAGGATCCTGCTCCCTCTTCTAGATAAGCTGCTTACTTCTTGTCCCTCAAAGCACACTTCCAAGGTCTACTCTCTTGTTAAAGCCTGGCCTGCGTCCCTGGGCACCCCTTCCTCTAGAGCAGCGGTTCTCAACCTGTGGGTCACAACCCCTTTGGGGGTCGAACGACCCTTTCACAGGGGTCGCCTAAGACCATTGGAAAACACATACATAATTACATATTGTTTTTGTGATTAATCACTATGCTTTAATTATGTTCAATTTGTAACAATGAAAACACATCCTGCATATCAGATATTTACATTACGATTCATAACAGTAGCAAAATTACAGTTATGAAGTGGCAACAAAAATAATTTTATGGTTGGGGGTCACCACAACATGAGGAACTGTATTAAAGGGTCGCGGCATTAGGAAGGTTGAGAACCACTGCTCTAGAGTGAATCACACTCTTACAGTCATCGCTCAGGTGTCTGTCTCTCCCAGAGGCTGTGAACCCCCTGGAGAGGGGACAGCCCTCCCAGGAAACGCCTAACACGGAAAGGAGCCAATGCGCCATGAATGCGGAATGAACAAGCAGGCTCGGCAATGTTCTCAGGGACAACTACAGAGGGGCAAGAGGGCTCCCTTGTCACGGAGCTCCACGCAAGTGCTGCCTCCCCCCTCGCCTCCCCTGGGCCCAGCGCCCTGTCCGCCCCTGCGGGAATGCGCCCTCGGAGCCATGCACAGGAAGTAGAGAGGGGAGAGTCTGAGCTCTAATTTTAAGGGTGGATTCTCATTCGCCTTTGAAATAGCTCCAGTTGCCTAGGATGAAATACAACTATTTAAGGGCAATATCCTCACCAATGCCCTTGCCCAGTGGTCGGCAAACTCGTTAGTCAACAGAGCCAAATATCAACAGTACAACGACTGAAATTTCTTTTGAGAGCCAAATTTTTTAAACTTAAACTATATAGGTAGGTACATTGTTATTAACTTAATTAGGGTACTCCTAAGGCTTAGGAAGAGCCACACTCAAGGGGCCAAAGAGCCGCATGTGGCTCGCGAGCCGCAGTTTGCCGAACACGGCCCTTGCCGAACAAGAGTTGGGCTGGGACCCTTGGGAAAACCCCCAGACGATTAGGGGGCAAATCATTGTATCTCGGTGCCCAAATATTTCCCATTTCAACAGCAAAAGTTTGCCAGGGCTGTGGGCTCTGCATGTGTGCACAGATTCCGCCCCGCGCCGGAAACACCCCGAAAGAGTTACCCAGAAGCCGGGGCACCACGGCATCTTCCCGCCTCCCGGGAAGGCCCCGTG